AGGCTATCCAGCCTATCCAGGAGCCTGCAGGCCTGTTTAGCTAGTAGCGCCTGGTTGAACGCCCTCATGTCCCTGAAGCCCATACCTCCCATGGCTTTAGGCAACCGCAGTTTATCCCAGCTCATCCAGGCCATCTTCTTCTTCCCATTCTCCCCCCCCCCACCAATACTGGCGTATCATCCTTGTTAGATCATCACACACCGAGGCCAGGAGTTTGAAAACACTCATAACATATGCTGGTATAGCCTGTGCCACTGATTTGATTAGTATCTCCTTATTCCCTGACGACATGTACTGCTCACTCCAGTCCACAAGAACTTTACTCAAACGCTCTTGGATAGTCTCAAAGTGCCCTTTTGTGCATCCTCCCCTCCGGAACCGGCAAGCCCAAGTACTTAGGCTCGAACGCCTCCTGGGTGATATCCAGCGTGTCTTTAACCTCTTGAACCACATCAGCCTGACATTGATTTGAGAATAGAATGGAACACTTCGACGGGTTAATAAGTTGTCCTGTCGCCGTCGCGAAGGTGTTCAACACCCCTTTAACTAATAATGCCTGCTGATTATTTGCATGAAAAAATAGGAGTGAGTCATCCGCAAACAAGAGGTGTGTAATCTCCAAAACACCTCTACATATTCTGACTCCACTGAGACCATCTTCCCTTGCAGCCTTTTCAATCAACTCAGAAAGAGCATCAGATACAAAAAAGAAGAGGAATGGAGATAGTGGATCACCTTGACGGAGTCCCCTCGAGGGGGAGAAGGACTCCAGAAGCTTCCCATTAAATTTTACCGAGTACTTCACCGACGAGACACAAGCCATAACACGAGCAATCCAGATGGGCCAGAAGCCCCATTTGGCCAAAGCCTTTTCCAAAAAAACCAGTCCACCCTGTCATAGGCCTTAGAAAGATCAAGCTTGTAAGCACAAAGACCGCTAGCATTGTTTCTTCCCGACTGAATATGGTGAAGACATTCAAACGCAATAATAGAATTGTTAGAAATCAGCCTCCACGGGATGAAGGCGCTCTGATTTTCAGATATGAGATCAGTCAGGATGGGACGTAATCTGTTCACCATACACTTAGAGATTATTTTGTATATAACATTGCACAAGCTTATTGGCCTAAAATCTTTCAGATCGTTTGGATGAGGGACCTTAGGAATAAGCACAATAGCCGTGTTGTTTACACCATCAGGCATAACACCAGGAGCAAAGAACTCGTGGACCGCCACAACAATCTCAGTTTTCAGCAGTGCCCAATTCCGTTGAAAGAACCTAGCAGGTAGTCCATCACATCCCGGTGCTTTCAGTGGTCCGATCTGAAATAAGGCATTAGATATCTCCTCGTCCGAGTAGGGCCTGCATAAAGAAGCATTCATCTCCTCTGTTACTTTTGGGGCAATACAGTCCAACACCGTGTCCGGAGAGAGGGTTGGATCTTTGGTGAAAATCTCCTTAAAGTAAGAGTGAGCCATCCTTTCCATCTCGGAAGGAACATTAGACCACGTTCCATCCTGTTTCCGTAGGTGTTGAATCAGGTTCCTACGAGCACGCCATACCGCTCTCCGGTGCAGATATTTGGTGTTGCGCTCACCTTCCTTTAGCCAGGTGATGCGTGATCGCTGGAGCCATAGCATCTCTTCCTTGTATAAAAGCTCGTCGAGCTGGTTCATTTTGTCCCGTACTTGAGCACGGTCCACTCCAGCCAGTTGCAGGTCTGCCAGTTGCGAACGGAGCCTCTCAATATCTTTCAACACGTTGCCAAACTTCAATCTACTCCACTCCTTCATCTCCTTTAAAACCTCCCGCAAGGATGTGGCCACCGAATCCAAACTACCAGGAGTTTTGTGTTTATTCCAAGCTTCAGCTATTACATTGGGCAAGGTATTGTCACATTCCCACATGATTTCATAACGCAAACATGGGGCCCGACGCTGCTGGTCTTGCATCCCCTCCAATTGTATCAACACGGGGCAGTGATCCGAAGATGAGGTGGTCAAGTGTACCACCTTTGCAAGCGGAAATGTATCACGCCAAAGCCTCGTCCGCACAAGCACGATCCAAGCGAACCTAAACATTGCGATCTGAATCCTGGCCATTGTTATATGTGAACGGAATACCCGAGAAACCAAGGTCCTCGAGCTCGCACCTCTCCAAGCAATCTCTAAAGGCAACCATCTGAGCCTCCGAACGCTCGGTCCTCGACAAATGCTCATGTTGCCATAAAGCTTCATTGAAATCCCCACACACCATCCACGACTCACGCGAGTGAGCATGAAGCCTGCAAAGGTGCTCCCACATGCGATGACGATTTTCAACCCGAGGATCACCATAGACAAAGGTGCCTCGCCAAGAATTGCCTGACCCACCATCGACCACACTAACATCGATAAAACGATTGCAAGAATCAACCACCGTGACAGAGAGGGACTCATCCCAGAAAAGTGCTAAGCCCCCACTTCTTCCATCACTACTCACTCCATGAAAACCTTTCAGACCGAGTCTCCATCGCAGCTTCTCTACTTTCACAGTAGCTTGCCTAGTTTCACACAGGAAGACAAGCTTGGGGTTATTGGCTTTTGTGAGGGCCAAAACCTCACGAACTGTCCGGCGGTCCCCCCCGGCAGTTCCAAACAAGGGTATTCATTGCGTCCGGCGGTCTTCCTCGAGGGAAGCCGCCGATTTCTCCATGGTAGCATGATCCTTAGTAAGCTTGACACGTTTACTACTAGAAGAGCTGCTCGTTGGTGAGGCATTCTCTCTCAGGTCTTGAACACTGCCATCCGTAATGGCCAAAACCACATCCTTACTTTTAGGTTTGTTCACAGCATCATCTCCAGCCCTGTCCATGTTAAATCTCTTCCTCGCATCTCTATCAATTTCCATGAGTGCACCCGGGATCTTCACCAGGCTTGTGGCTGTGTCGAGCATCTCAGGATCCGTAGCCTTGAGGCCAGGGTCCAATGGAGCTCTAGGGCTGCCGTTCTTCTTCTGCTGACGAGGTGTATCTGCTCTGCTAGGGTTTTGGTCAGGCCTCGGCCGGCTAGGGCCCTCGGCATATAGCCAGTCACCAAACTTGAGATTCTTCTTATCATGGACACCAGATCCACACTCTTTGTGCTCATGACCTATCCGACCACAGAAGCTGCAAAAACGGGCCAACTTCTCATACCGCACCAGATAAACTTGCCTCTCCTGCGCCCGAACAATGCTCACAAACTTTGTAAGAGGCTGCTTAATGTCACGGTTAACCCTAACCCTAACATAGTCCCATCGGGTGTTGTCGTTTAAACGCATCTCCAAGATCTCGCCGGCCCCCTTTAGGAGCCGCTCCACAATACCCTGCTTGCAGTAGGGATCAGGAAGTTTATGTATCTGTAACCAGATCGTCATATGATCAAAAACCACATCGTCCGCTTTGGTGAAACCATCGTACGGACACATCAGAACCGCCATGTTGTGGAAGAGCCAAGGGCCTTGCATCATCATCCTCTCCCAGTCGCCCAGGCAAGAAGCTTGGACAACGAATCTGTTAGGTCCGACCGGATGAAATCTTACCCGCTGCGCCGGGTTCCAGGCCGCCCTCATGTCCTTGTAGAAAGCCGAATGCGAGAAATTCTTGTCGGTGTGAACCCTATCTAGGGCTACCCACCGTACGCTCTCTTTGATTTCGGGATCCTCTTCATCAATCTCAACATCATTGAACTCCTCGTCGTTCAGATCCAGTTGATCGAAGAACTCTTCCAGGGCGGCGTTAGCGGCCGCCGAAGCGCCTCCGCTCGTGGCAGAGTTGGCATCCGAGGGGGAGGCCATCCTGACGTGGTTGGGCGTTGCGCGATCAACGAGGGCGTCGATCGAGCCTTGCGGAGGGTGAAGGGACTCAGGGACGACCAAATCGCCCTAGAGGAGATAAACCCTAGGCGCTAGGGCGTAGGGAAAAAATTTGAGAGGGGGCCGACTACCAAGGCCACGGGAGTTAACCGCTGCTCACAGCTCTAGGGCACGGAAACTAACAATTGTCGCAGCGCTCTTAACCCGACTTTACTGGATTGCTTTGTCAAAAGAACCGCGATATCAGAGGAACGCTGGCCAAGAAATGGTGGCATTTGCGAAAGTCTTTCTGACAATTTTAGTTAGGGCATGACATCTTCTTCACAAGAGCATAACAGTTTTTGACATAGAAGGCAAAATTTTTTTTTTAAAAAAAATCTACCACCCGCATAATTTTGATCGGACGGTCATGCAGGCGTTCGCTGTGATCAGACGGTTGTGCAGGTGCTCGCTGGGACCTCCCCTACCGAACGTTCGTCTGTTATCATTGCCGCTGTTAACACAGACATCACCAAAAGTTGGCAACATTGCGCGAGATTAGCGGAAAGATCTGATAACTGCCCAATCAGTAGGCAATATATTCAGCAAATGCTGAATATCTGCATGGCAATTTTTGGCATCTGTAACAAATCATGCCCACAACAATTTTTTACCAACTTTATCCCTTGATTGACGGCAGTGTAATTTGCCTCCGCCGCGTACGCGCAGGATTTTGCGCGTCCCGCCGTTTCCGCCCGGCCCCTACGCAGCGGCCGTCGTGCCAACTCACGCCACTACCGCCCTGCCTGCTCCCTCCCTCCCTCAAATCACGAGCGCCACCGTCTCTCTCTCTCTCCTCCGGCGATGGATCCCATCCCAGCCCGGCCCGAAATCTGGCAAAGCGCGTACGTCTGCGGACGCACGCATCCTCCCCGTCCAGCCAACCAATGCTCGCCATCACTGCCCCGCAGACCCCCCCTGCGCCTCATTTATATTCTCTCCCTCGTCGCCCGGCCAGATCGGCCCATCCCTTTCCTCCCTGCCACTCTTTGACCCCTGTGCCGCGTCCCGACCCCCGCCACCCACCTCGCTCCACTGCACGCTCGTCACTCCCTACTGAGATAGCACAGTGGACAGCGGCGTCGGTGGTAGGAGTGTGCAAGCGCGTGCGACGAGGGGTCTGGAGATGTCGCCGCCAATCTCGCTCTGCGTCTTCGTCCTCCTCTCCTCCCTCCTCGCGGCGGCCAGGGCCGAGGACCCCTACCGCTTCTACACCTGGAACGTCACCTTCGGCGACATCTACCCGCTCGGCGTCAAGCAGCAGGTGCATTGCGCGCTTCTTGTTTCTTCTTTTTGTTCCGTTCTTGGGCTGACGCCGGCGACGTGGATGGGCGGCGGCGGTGCAGGGGATCCTGATCAACGGGCAGTTCCCGGGGCCGCAGATCGACGCCGTCACCAACGACAACATCGTCATCAACGTCTTCAACAACCTGCCCGCACCATTCCTCCTCTCCTGGTAATTATCGCATTTTTTTCCCTTCTTCTTTTGACTGTACGTTTCCACTGTGCGTGTCGGTGCCTCTCCCCAGTTTGGCCGCTCTTCATTTCAAGCTCGGCACAGATGCTTCGCTTTCCACGCTGCATTCCTGCTGGAATGCTGCCGGTCGGCTCATTTCCGAGCTTATCTAACCGCTACAGATATATTCATATCTTCGCACATATATATGGCCTAGATTATGCTGTGAAATCGAAATGTACGGGCATGTTTTCCCCCTTTTCTGTTATTTCACCATTTTTTTTTACTGAAACTACCGGGTAAATGCCTTTCTTTTTCTATACCACTGCCTATATACGTCGTTGTTGAGATGGGAGAGTTATTTTCCAAATGTGAACATATACGGAAGAACACGCCGACTCCCAGGGCATCACCTGCGCCGCAACTGTGCAACAGTGCAATTGGGCAGTTAAATTTGGTTCAGTAGATCGAGCAGACACATGTGTAAATCTCCATTTAGCAAGCACTGCGTCTCGGCACTGGCAGAGCTCGTGACGGATGTCCCCGGGAATGAGCTGTCTCAGCCTCAGGGCAGGCAAACAAATGTCGGGATTTGTTTAGCTCTAGACCGGATCTGATGCCCTTCTCAGATCCAGTGCCATCTCTATCCTCTCACAAATAATAACATTTTTTTAACATTTTTTGGCCGTGCTTTCGCTTTCACCACAGATCAGATCAGTGGTGAACGAAAGAAACAAGTGTGCAACTGGTATCAGTGGGCCTAGTGTTTTTTCAGCATTTGGCATGTGCAGCGGGCTGATGCGGTTCCTGCATTCTTTTGCCTTTCAAGTGTGGCACCTTTTGTATCACTACAACAACAACAACAACAACAACAACAAAGCCTTTAGTCCCAAACAAGTTGGGGTAGGCTAGAGGTGAAACCCATAAGATCTCGCAACCAACTCATGGCTCTGGCACATGGATAGCAAGCTTCCACGCACCCCTGTCCATAGCTAGCTCTTTGTCGAAATCCGATGTGGCGCGTCGCTGAGAGGGTTACGCCCCAACGAAAATCTTTTGGGTTTCATCTCCATAAGAGTGGCTGAGTTTTTACGTTGGCTCGCCAAGCCTATCACAACCCTCCTCCTTTACCCGGGCTTGGGACCGGCTATGTTGAGACAACATAGGCGGAGTTACCTTTTGTATCACTAACTTGAGAAAACCACATCAGAGCCATGGGATATGCTCCTGCCACATGTGAATTATTGTGAAAGCACTCGATTTTTTCTTCAAAAACAGTATATATATACCGCTATGAGCTAACCATACTGAATTTTGACTGCATTGGTCTCATTTTTACTTAATCTTGTAACAGTCAAGCACTCTGTATGACGCCAACTGATGTCAATTTCAAATCCCAAGTTTTGGACTGCGCAAAACAATAGCACTTAATATCTGACGGTTCATACACTGCAGGCAGGGGATTCAGCAGAGGAGGAGCTCATGGCAAGACGGCGTGTACGGCACAAACTGCCCGATCCCTCCAGGGGGCAATTTCACCTACAACATGCAGTTCAAGGACCAGATCGGGAGCTACTACTACTTCCCTTCTCTCGCGTTCCATAAGGCGGCGGGCGGGTACGGTGGCATCAGGGTCCTTAGCCGCCCGAGGATCCCTGTTCCGTTTGACCCCCCTGCCGGTGATTTCACCATCTTGGCTGGTGACTGGTTCAAGCTCAACCACACTGTAAGCTCATGTTTTTGCTGCATCGCAGTGCGGCGTTTCACGAAAGGAATAAAGAATGGTAAACCTGAACTGAAACTCGAAACTTTGCAGGATTTGAAAGGCATTCTGGACAGTGGTAACGACCTTCCCTTCCCTGATGGTCTCCTTATCAATGGCCATGGCTCGAATGGCAACAAGTTCACAGTAGACCAAGGTAAAATTTTGAGAGTAGCAAAACAGAGGGCAAAAATAGCTGACAAGTACTTCACATTTAGGTAGACAGAGACAGAGTTGTACTGAACTAGCTTCATGTGATTTTTCACAGGCAAAACATACCGTTTTCGAGTGTCGAACGTGGGCATCTCGACCTCGGTGAACATAAGGATCCAGGGCCATTCCTTGCTCCTGGTGGAGGTGGAGGGGTCGCACACCATGCAGAACACCTACTCGTCGCTTGACGTCCACCTAGGCCAGTCCTACTCGTTCCTCGTGACGGCCGACCAGCCACCCCAGGACTACACCATCGTCGTCTCGACGCGCTTCACCAACCCCGTGCTCACCAACACCGCCACGCTCCATTACAGCAACTCGAATGGCATCCCCGCGGCGTTGCCGCCTCCCCCAGGGCCGACGATCGAGATCGACTGGTCTCTGAATCAGGCCAGATCAATCCGGTAAGACTGAATGACTGTAAAAACTGAAGTCACATATGTTGTGACTCTGAATGACTGAAAAAAACTGAAGTCACATATATATGCTGCTACTCTGAATAACTGAAACTCTCTGAATGATGAATGCAGGTGGAACCTGACGGCAAGCGGACCAAGGCCGAACCCTCAAGGCTCATACCACTACGGCCAAGTGAACACGACGAGAACGATGAGGCTCGCCAACTCGCGGGTCTCCATCAACGGCAAGCTGAGGTACGCGGTGAACAGCGTGTCCTTCATCCCGGCCGACACCCCGCTCAAGGTGGCCGACTTCTACAACATCCAGGGCGTGTTCACGCTGGGTAGCATGCCCGACGTCCCGTCCGGCGGCCCCGCGTACCTCCAGACGGCCGTCATGGCGTCCAACATGAGGGACTACGTCGAGGTCGTCTTCGAGAACGCCGAGGGCTCTGTGCAGTCCTGGCACATCGACGGCTACGCCTTCTGGGTCGTGGGGTGCGTTTGTTGTCTCAGACCATGTGGGCTTGTTTTAGGACGATGGTCCGACATGCCGGAGGTGACTGACCGTTTTTTTCTGGATGAAAAATGAACAGGATGGACGGAGGGCAGTGGACGCCGGCGAGCCGTCAGAACTACAACCTGAGGGACGCGATCGCCCGGTACACGTTGCAGGTACGTTCATCTCCAGGGGCAATTAGCTCTGTGATTCTCATCATGCCACTGCAAGGAAGAAGAAACAGAGGTGTCTGAATTTAGTTCTGAACTTTGACAATGTGGTTCAGGTGTATCCTGGGGCGTGGACGGCGATCTACATGCCGCTGGACAACGTGGGGATGTGGAACGTGCGGTCGGAGAGCTGGGGCAGGCAGTACCTGGGCCAGCAGTTCTACCTCCGGGTCTACTCGCCGGCCAACTCGTGGCGGGACGAGAACCCCATCCCCAAGAACGCGCTGCTCTGCGGCCGCGCCTCCGGCCGCCGGACCAGGCCACTCTGAAGTCGGTTTTCGTGTCACGAAGGGGTGACTGAATCTGAGAATCAGGTTGCTGAGCTCCAAATTCTTTTGACTGAAAACAAGCTTTGAGATGGTTTGCATTTGTAGCGGCGTGCCGGTGCTATTCGTGATTCTTTTCGTGGAAATTGTAGGCAAAATGTTATGTATGGCAAGCATCTTGCTTGCTCTCATATTTTGAACTGCAAAAACGCCTTATATTTAGTTACAGAGGTAGTACTACATTATTACTTGATGGTATGGATATCTGTAGATGAACTTGAATTAAACAAGCAAATTGCCAATTACTAACCTTGTGTGAGACTGAGAGTAAGATATCAAATGGTATCAACGTGACTGAGTTTCAACAACCTTTCTGGGATGGCTTCCTGGCTGAATTTCAACTACCTTTCTGGGATATGATTAAGAGGAACATGCTATAGTTGTTTAACTAACTACTCATAATTTTTTTAGCATATTTTAAACTTTGAGAAAATTATTCTGCTGATATGCAAGTTGGATCCAACAATATTTATCAGTTGATTTTGTCTTATGAATGTCATCTTTAAGATTTCTATGAAGGTGACAACTAATCAGTTGAATGAGGTGGTTGACCATGTGGTCTACTCCACTCAAACATCGTTCATACAAGGACGAAATATACTCGATGCGATTGTTGTCCTACATGAGACTGTATGTGAACTTCAAAAATGTCGTCCTACATGAGACTGTATGTGAACTTCAAAAATGTCGAGCAGAGTCATCTTAAAAATTGATTTTGAGAAAGCCTACGATGAGAGTGAAGTGACCCTCGGGTTCTCACCAAAATGGTGTAGATGTGTTGATGATTAGTCCCTTTAGTAATCTGGTAAAGAAGCTGAAAGTGTTCTGGCCTTTTCCCCATAGGTGACCTTGAGTTATCGAACCCACGAGAAAAAGGCACTCTTGAAGTCAGAGGTTTCTACCAAGTTTTTGCAATTGACTGTATCAAAATCAAGTTGAAACTGAAAACACTTATAATAAAAATAGGCATGGGTATGAGGAGTTTTCTTACAACCATATATTTGTCAAACGGATCATCATGATATTAACTTGTGCCCTGGAAGTCATCCATCTAGATGTGCTTCCAATATATAGAAGTGAGGGATGTGTCCAAATTACGTTTGATCGCCACGCGTCCTGCATCAAGAATCAGTTGTCCAGCCGAAAGACCCTATCCGTCACACGCGGTTGCCCCGATAATTAAGATAGAAATCAGACAAAAGCATTTGGTGTTTAATCACTACACCTCTTGTCCAAAGGATAGGATTCATGTTATCATACTAAACCTTTCTGTCACTAGTGTTCACAATAACACTTCATGGTATCCCTACCCTTAGCCTCTCCGTAGCCCGCTCTGCATGATCCTGGGTACTTGCAGGGACGAAGAACAAGGACAAGACAAGAGACAACTTACGAAACAATTTTATGTCACACATACGGGATGTTAATTCAAAGTACTTTCATTGATCCCTCCAACAAATACATCGGGTTGCAGGCCTATGCCTCAACCAATGACCTTATCGAACTACTCACACATTGTTGGAGTTGAATCCTGCGGATCTTGCGTAGGGGGTCCTGAGCTGGTGATCTTTGCTTAATGGTAACAAGACAAAGAGGGACACGGTGTTTTACCCAGGTTCAGACCCTTTCAAAGAGGTAAAACCCACGTCCTGCTTATATTGCATTGAATGTGGATTGGGTACAAAGTACAGTATAGTCTATCGGTTGAGCATGAAAAAGGTAGTGACGGGGAGAAGAAGTACAAAAATTGATGAATCTCACAATGATTGTGTTGATCTAGAGCAAGCTCAATCACATGCAGCTTAAGAGGAGTCATAGATGTTGCTGATGAGAACAAGCCAAGAAAGAAAATGCTATTTTAAGAACCAAGCAACTCTGATGACAATGATTTTGCGCCATTGTATTGCTCATTATATGATGATGAGGAAAATGCTACTATTAGATAAGATTATAGGAAATTCAAAGAGAGCAAGAAGATGGCAAGTGAAAGACTGGCATGTGAGTATGATTTTAAAATGGTCAATGAAGTTAAGTCATGAGACAAGTATGAAGATGATTCAAGTGCTTGAGATGATGAATCTTATCACGAAGATAGTGATGGTCACCTTATCAGGCGTTAGTCCGAATTGTTGGAAATATGCCCTAGAGGCAATAATAAAAGGATTATTATTATATTTCTTTGTTCATGATAGTTGTCTTTTATTCATGCTATAACTGTATTATCCGGAAATCATAATACACGTGTGAATACATAGACCACAATATGTCCCTAGTGAGCCTCTAGTTGACTAGCTCGTTGTGATCATCAGATAGTCATGGTTTCCTGGCTATGGACATTGGATGTCGTTGATAACGGGATCACATCATTAGGAGAATGATGTGATGGACAAGACCCAATCCTAAGCATAGCACAAAGGTCGGTTAGTTCGTTTGCTAGAGCTTTTCTAATGTCAAGTATCTCTTCCTTAGACCATGAGATCGTGTAACTCCCGGATACCATAGGAGTGCTTTGGGTGTACCAAACGTCACAACGTAACTGAGTGACTATAAAGGTGCATTACAGGTATCTCCGAAAGTGTCTGTTGGGTTGACACGAATCGAGACTGGGATTTGTCACTCCGTATGACGGAGAGGTATCACTGGGCCCACTCGGTAGTGCATCATCATAATGAGCTCAAGGTGGCCAAGTGTCTGGTCACGGGATCATGCATTACGGTACGAGTAAAGTGACTTGCCGGTAACGAGACTGAACGAGGTATTGGGATACCGACGATCGAGTCTCGGGCATGTAACGTACCGATTGACAAAGGGAATTGCATACGGGGTTTGATTGAATCCTCGACATCGTGGTTCATCCGATGACAACATCGAGGAGCATGTGGGAGCCAACATGGGTATCCAGATCCCGCTGTTGGTTATTGACCTGAGGTCGTCTCGGTCATGTCTGCATGTCTCCCGAACCCGTAGGGTCTACACACTTAAGGTTCGGTGACGCTAGGGTTATCAGGAAGACAAGTATGTGATTATCGAATGTTGTTTGGAGTCCCGGATGAGATCCCGGACGTCACGAGGAGTTCCGGAATGGTCCGGAGGTAAAGATTTATATAAGGAAAGTGGTTAAACGGACAGCGGAAAGTTTCGGTGGCATACCGGTATTGTACCGGGGCCACCGGAAGGGTTCCGGGGGGTCCACCGGGTGGGGCCACCCCTCCCGGGGGGGCACATGGGCTGTGTGGGAGAGGGAGCCAGCCCCTAGTGGGCTGGGCGCGCCTCCCCACCTAGGCCCATGCGGCTAGGGCAAGGGGAGGGGAAACCCTAAAGGGGGCGCCCCCCTAGCTTGGGGGGCAAGCCACCCCTTTTTCCTCTCCCTTTGGCCGCCGCCCCCTCTAGGGTTTCCCCTAGAGGGCCGGCCCCCTTGCCCCTCTCCTCCTATATATAGAGGGGTGAGGGGAGGGCTGCAACACGACACAACTCAAGGCACAGCCCCTCCCCTCCCCAACACCTCTCCTCCTCCGTACGTGCTCGGCGAAGCCCTGTCGGAGTACTGCTGCACCAACTACACCACGCCGTCGTGCTGCCGTTGGAGCTGCCTTCCTTAACCTCTCCTTCCTCCTTGCTGGATCAAGACGGAGGAGACGTCGCCCGTCCCGTACGTGTGTTGAACGCGGAGGTGCTGTCCGTTTAGCACTTGGTCATCGATGATCCGAATCACGGCGAGTACGACTCCATCATCACCATCCCCTTGAACGCTTCCGCACTCGATCTACAAGTGGTATGTAGATGCAAACTCACTCCCTTGACTCGTTGCTTAGATGAACTCATAGATGGATCTTGGTGAAACCGTAGGAAAATTTTTAATTTTCTGCAACGTTCCCCAACAGTGGTATCAAAGCCAGGTTTATGCGTAGTTCTCTATTGCACGAGTAGAACACAATTTTGTTGTGGGCGTGGATCTTTTCAACTTGCTTGCCGCTACTAGTCTTATCTTGCTTCAGCGGTATTGTGGGATGAAGCGGCCCGGACCAACCTTACACGTACGCTTACATGAGACCGGTTCCACCGACTGACATGCACTAGTTGCATAAGGTGGCTGGCGGGTGTCTGTCTCTCCCACTTTAGTTGGAGCGGATTCGATGAAAAGGGTCCTTATGAAGGGTAAATAGAAGTTGACAAGATCACGTTGTGGTTACATCGTAGGTAAGAAAACGTTCTTGCTAGAACCCAATTGCAGCCACGTAAAAGATGCAACAACAATTAGAGGACGTCTAACTTGTTTTTGCAGCAATTGTCATGTGATGTGATATGGCCAGAAGTTGTGATGAATGATGAATGATATATTGTGATGTATGAGATCATGTTCTTGTAATAGGAATCACGACTTGCATGTCGATGAGTATGACAACCGGCAGGAGCCATAGGAGTTGTCTTTATTTTTTGTATGACCTGCGTGTCATTGTAGAACGCCATGTAAACTACTTTACTTTATTGCTAAATGCGTTAGTCATAGAAGTAGAAGTAGTTGTTGGCGTGATAACTTCATGAAGACACGATGATGGAGATCATGATGATGGAGATCATGGTGTCATGCCGGTGACAAGATGATCATGGAGCCCCGAAGATGAAGATCAAAGGAGCTATATGATATTGGCCATATCATGTCACTACTTTATATAATTGCATGTGATGTTTATTATGTTTATGCATCTTGTTTACTTAGATCGACGGTAGTAAATAAGATGATCCCTTATAACAATTTCAAGAAAGTGTTCCCCCTAACTGTGCACCGTTGCTAAAGTTCGTCGTTTCGAAGCACCACGTGATGATCGGGTGTGATAAATCCTTACGTTCACATACAACGGGTGTAAGACAGTTTTACACATGCAAAAACACTTAGGGTTAACTTGACGAGCCTAGCATGTACAGACATGGCCTCGGAACACGGA